GCATATAAAAGAAAAATTAATTCAATTAGTAGTACATTCTCTGGATTCGCAACCACCACACGATTTTTCAGAGTTTCCGGTGTTCCAATTTTCAGAACATGGGAGTGTCGGAGGCAATTAAATCTTTCTGGTTCTGCTGGTGGTTTAGATTATTTCCGCCCTAGCCATTAGTGACCTCATTAGTCACAACTCTGGAAATTCAGGACAGAAACTTCTTTCTTCTGTTACAAAATTATGTAACTTCATTTTTACTGATAGAGTTTCTCCGGAAATTTGTCCTATACTTTTTGGCGCTTCACTGTGTGCTTTTTGGAAAAAGGATGGAGGAGTAACACCGATTGCCGTCGGTACCTTTTATCGATTGGTAGCTAAACTTGGTTGTATGGGGATTAAAGACGAATTAGAATCCATGTTACATCCACTACAGTTTGGTTTCGGTACTGCAGGTGGATGTGAAGCTGTTGCTCATGCTGCTTGTAGATATATTAATCTTCATCCAAATCCCGATTCAAAAATTTTCCTGAAAATAGACTTCAAAAATGCCTTCAACATGATTGATAGGAACATTATGCTTCGTGAGGTTAAAGATTCGTTTCCAGGATTATATCCCTTCTTAAGTCAGTGTTATAAATCAGCTTCCTATTTGAGTTTTGCTAATCATCTGATTCTGTCTGAGAGAGGTGTTCAACAAGGTTATCCCTTAGGACCTGCTCTTTTTTGTCTGACGATCAACGAACTCACTAGAAACTTATCATCCGAATTTAATTGTTGGTATTTGGTCGATGGCTCAATCGCTGGCGATAAAAACAGTGTTTCAAAGGATTTAGAAAAAATCATTGATTATTCAAAACATCTTGGCCTTGAACTAAATTTTGAAAAATGCGAGTTGATTACTCTCTCAACTCCGAATCCATTATTTTGAAATTGGCTCCTGGTATAAGAATTTTGGAAAAGTCTAAATGAAGTCTTCTGGGTGCTCTTCTTTCTAAAGATTCACTTTCAAAACATCTTTGAGAAAAACGGGAATCACTCAAATTGCTGACCACCAGATTAAATGAACTTCCAAACCAGCTTTTCTGTCATCAGTCTAGAGTGTTTCCGATCTTATCTATTCCATCCTTCCTTCCATATTTATCAATATCAATGACGTTTTTTATGCTGAAGATGAATCACTTTGGCATGCCGTAACTTATGTTGCTCCTCCTACAGATAAAAAGAAAATGCAAAGTGCATGGGACCGACATCTTCTGAACATTATAACTGATAAACTTCTGAAACCTACAAGTGTATAGTAAAAGGCTCGTCTGAAAGCAGCAATGATTAAGGAATCGGTTGCTTGGCTGAATGCCTTACCTGTTCCATCTCTTGGAACACTATCAGACGATGAATTTTTCAGAATAGCAGTAGGACTTAGGATGGGTTCATCTATTTGTGTGCCTCATACTTGTATTTGCGGTAGTATAGTTGATGAGAAAGGTACACATGGTTTGAGTTGCAGAAATGCAGGGCGTACATCTCGATATCACCAAATGAACAACATATTGAAACGACTTCTTCGATTGACGACTTGTTTATTTTGTGGAAATTCATGTTCACTGAGGATACACTACAAAAACACACTTTTGTCTATTTTCCACTATATTTCTTTATTGTTGACCGGTTTCGGCTATTTTGAAAATGGTATAATAGCCGAAACCGGTCAACAATAAAGAAATATAGTGGAAAATAGACAAAAGTGTGTTTTTGTAGTGTATCCTCAGTGAATATTGAAACGAGCTATGTTGTCAGCGGATGCTCCTGCAATTCTGGAACCCTTAGGTACCAGTCGAGATGATGGTAAACGATCAGAAGGTATGTCTCTCATACCATTGAAATATGATAAAACTGTGGTATGGGACTTTACTTGCATTGACACGGTCGTCGCTTCCCATCTAGCTGGAAGTTCGAGGTCTGCTGGAACCGCAGCATTGTCTGGCGAAAAATTGAAAAGACAAAAATACCAAAATCTTGGTAACAACTATCTGTTCCATCCTGTAGCGGTTGAAACTTTGGTTCCTTCCGAGTTCATGAACGAATAACAATTCGCTCATGAACTCGGGAGGAGAATAGGCCAAGCAACGAAAGATTATCAGTGAAATTAGCTTGGTTTCTCCCCGACCTTGTTTATGTATCTCTGAAGACAGGTAGTCAGGTTCACCTTTTTTTCTATTGAAATTATCCTTGTGTTTTTGAATTTCTATTGCCTCTCTGTATACTCCTCGATAGTGGTTTTGAGTTTTTTTGATAGAAAGAATTAGTATTGCTATTCAACGTAGTAATGCTGCTTCGGTCCTTGGAACTATTCCTCCTTCACATAATTTTGATGTGATTATGCATTGCCCTAATTTCAGTATGGAACTAAATCTCTTCGAAAAAAAACGAGATATGTGTATATTCATCAGTCTCCTATCAAAACTAATTCACAAGTGATTGAGCCACCTTCTTCTTTTACAATACGGTCAATGGACTTAGGTCATTCTTGCCCCCCAAATATGACTTGCAGTCCTCGTGGTTCTGGTTCCCTTTCAGTGGAAGAGCTTCATGAAGCAAGAGCCGAATCGATCCCTCTATGAAATCCTTCTTCACTTCGAAGGATCGATCGCAGCTTGGAAAATGGTTCTTATGCAGATTATGTGGAACATGTCCTTCCATACGAATCAGTAGAGAGTTGTCTTGAAAATTATGAGAAGAAAATTGAATTAGATAATTTAGGAAACATGAATAGCATTTTACAAGTGTTGTTTATGACGAAAAATTTCAAGAACGAGGTTTTAATGATGAACGAGAACGAAAATGATTCCTAATTATTCACCAAACTCAAACACCTGTTCATGCAGCTGCAGTTTCGTAGAAATATATAATCTTTCCCTCCAACCGATTTCCTGGAGTCTTTGAAGTCCACTAGATACTCGTTAGGACAACAAGAGGATTGTTCTGAATTCTTGGGGTTCTTCGTGGGCAAAACAATAGCAGAACCAATACTCCCGACTGCTCTGGATTGAATGATTCCGTACAGTCTATCTCGTCTTGTGTTTGTTAATCGTTTGATGGAAAAATCCTTGATTGTTTACTTTGTAGTAAATGTTCAAGAGGTAGCAAAAACGTATGTGAATTTCTGGAACTTCATCTAGCGTTTCCTGATATGACTAGTAACCAGTCCGTGCAAAGCTTATTATTAAATGATCTGAAAATGGAATTTTCAACAGATGATGATCGACTGTATTGCCAAACATGCGCCAAACTAACTGACTGTTATGAGGAAACAAGTATAGCTGAGGCACCAGTCAATCTAATAATAACACTGATGATCTTTCAACAAGACTTTCAAACTCCTTTGAAGGTTCAAAATAGATGAACGCTTCAATATAGCAGATCACTATTATAATATTCATGCAGTCTTTGATCAGGGTGGTTTTGGCGTAAAATTTGATCATTATTACGCCTTGGTCAAAGACGAAACAGACTGGTTTAATTTTGACGATAGTCGTGTCACGAAGTGTTCTGGCGATGTATTCAATACATTGGAGCCTCTGGAGACACCCTACATTTTGTTTTAGGAGAGAGAGGACATCGGCAGAGCAAGATCTTCAGATGATGTGGGATGTTGCGGGATTTTCCGGGTTTTCCTGCAGCTGAAAAAGCAAATGCGCCACTGGAATCAATGAAGTCGCCCTAGAGCGCCAATTAATTGCATATAAAAGTGTTTTTACTTTTCCTGTACTTATAACAAACACTTTTTCAGATCAAGCTTATCTTCATTTATAGAAACCAAGAACAAACAGATTGGTAGTTTTGTATTATCTGGTCAGAAGCCAGTACTTTTGGGACACACGAAACCCTTTCAGAATTTAAATTTTTAAATGAAATACATACACACACCATTGAAGGAGACAAAATATTAGTTTTAGGCTTATATGCTTGGTATCCATCTTTCTCAAGAATACACTTTACCAAAGTTTTTTTATCCCTGTTCGATAACTGCCTGAAGTACTTGTAGGCGATTTTCTTCTTTCCATACAGGTTTTGTTTGCTGATGATCCCGATTGTTTAAAATTCTACTGGTCACTGAATAGTGTACTTGTTTTTTTGTTGTTCATTGAAAATATCTTCTGCTTCTCATATCATTTCATAACCACAAGTCGGAGCATATTTGCGAAATTTTTGAATGCTGCAACTTCTTGTCAAAGATGAAGTTGACGGTTACCTAAAAAATGCGTGTTATGTGTCTATACTTGTATTTAAATCACCTAACTTTGCTATGCCCTATAATATATTGATTGTATGTTCATAAAGAATATAATTATCATTATTATTATGAGTCCAACTGAATTATACTAACGTGCTGAATACTGAAGAAATTATATCAGGTGCAAGTAATTTTTCAAAAAAAATTATGAAAATTTTAATAGGTCATGACTTTCAATTAGAGTATAACTTTTAATTCTGAACAACTTTTCTTAACAACATATTGTTATATTTTTTTTTGGAATAATGATACTGTATTCTCGAACTAATTTAATATTTTTTGAACTTCTCTGTATGTTCTTTGACTTGAAGCCATTCTATGTTTATTAAAAATACACAGTCAAATTTTGATTGTACAACTAACAAAAAAGTATACCGTATATTTGAATTGATAAAATAAAACTACAAAATGAACAGATGATTCTTATTTCATAAATTTCAGGAGAAGAAAAGCTAAGCTTGGTATTGGATCAGCATGCATCGGAGGTGGACAAGGAATCGCTGTTATGGTGGAAGTAATTTAGACCCAAATTCATTACATCAACCTACAATTCCATTCATAATGTGTAAATAAACTATGATGGTGTCCACATTAAATTTTTTGCATTAATCTATTGAGTGTATTCAATGGTATTTTGATTTATATAATGTATAAAATGTATAAAACAACAATATTATAATTTACTTCATTTTTAAGTACAATGAATCTGACAAAATTCTTTTACTAGTTTTATTGAAAGCAATGTAATCACAAGCATCAATTACAATGATATTTTGGTAAATAAAGTTTTGCTCTATGAACATATTTTCCCTAATGACTGATTCCTCATGTATGTAAACAGTAAGTTAGTTATACTTCAATCTGAGGGGGGGCTAGGGAATGATACAATTTTGTAACAGCTGTTTGAACTATCTGTTGAAAAGTTTCGTCGCTGGAACATTTAACTACCTGCAAATAAGTCAAGTTTTAGGATCATTTTAAAGAAATACATCAAAGACTTACCAAATTTGAAAGGTCGATATCAGCTCGTTTATCATTTACAGTAACATATAACTTTTCACCTTTGAATATTTTTGGAACTGAATCTTCACCGAACATATCCTGAAGCATTTCAATTAAACATTCCTGAAACATATTTGATTTTTAAAATAGCTATATGTTAAATTACTCATGGTGTTTATATATTTCACAGATGTAACAAGAAAATGACAAAAACAAGTAACGTCGATTTTCTGTAGGTAACATTTCATTAGTTCCATGAAACATTGTCAACCACCTTCAAACAAACTTCCAGAAGGTAAATTGTTAGTGTTCCGAAACATTTTCAAATTTTATTAAAAGATAACGTGGATTTCCATATTAAAGAATTTTATGATAATCTATCATATACTGAAGTCATGATTGAAACGTTACATGTTATGTACAAATTTGTAACGTTGTTCGGAATTCTTCGTTGACAGCTGTTATCCACTTGAAATTGTTTTTATTAACACCAGCGTTTGATATTCGCGGTGTTTTTGTAACTTGAGTTTCATTTGCAATTTTTTTGCCTTCTCACTGTTATCTTAGTGTTTTCTTCATCACTTTCAACTTCTCAATTTTTTTGTTTTCTTAAATATGTCTTTCTGACTGGAAATCGCTCACATCTACCTCCTCATCTTCAATTTTTTGTGACTTATTGGTGTATCTCTTTTCTGGTGTTCTGCATGATAACTGTCTTCTATGAATTCAACACATCTGCTTGTTTCATTCAACTTTTACCTTTTTTCTTTCGGAATTAGTATGTGAGCATCATCGTATGAGCTTCATCATCGATTCAGGAACAATGAAAAAGTTTTCGAGAAGAGACGAACTAAAACACGTTTAGTAATATCTGAAGATTCAGAAATTGACGTTTTAGCCTACTTTGAGGTAAATCCAAATAAATTCATGATATATTTATCTAGAGAAATAGCTGTTCCACCGTCTGGTATTCAACGAATTCTGAAGAAATAATTTTTCCATTTAAAACGAGCCACCCCTGAATAACTTTTGGTATAATGATTTTCAGGAAAAAAAACACGTCAACAATATATACCGGGGGACACATTTTGACATATTCACATTCGATGTTACTTCCCCTATCGCACCCCCAGAGCATGTCACTATTTTTTTTTTAAATGGATCACCCTATATTGTTTCGCATTATCAGATGCTCCATGATGAGCATACAAAGTATAAAACATATGGTCTGAAGCTTATGGTTCGGGAGCTACAAATTATTTAAGTTAAAAACAATCCACCCTGAATAACTTTTGTAACAATGATTTTCAGTTTTCTGGTTCGGACATGATTGTGCCAAGACATATTGCTGTCCATTTTAACCCCCAACAAACTTATCGAAACAGAAAGTGGAAGTTTTTGATGCAAAGTTATTTTTATTTTTTGTTAACACCGAAAATCACTCAAAATTATACAGTATTTGTAACAAAAACTTAATATTCAATAATATCAAATCTCAAAACATCAAAATAAAATAGGTATTTCAGAACAAACTCATTGATTTTCTGGAGATTCAACTTAAAACACTTATTTTGGACAAGAAAATCTCCAGGAAATCAATGAGTTTGTTCCGAAATAGCTATTTTGTTTTGATGTTTTGTGATTTGATATTATTGAATATTGAGTTCTTGTTACAATACTGTATAATTTTAGGTAATTTTCGGAGTTAACAAAAAATAACTTTGCACCAAAAACTTTGAAAATTAATTCACTCTTCAAAAAAATTGACCGTGGTTAACATGACCGTGGCCATAACTTTAAATCTAGATGTATTTTTCAATGCTTAACGTTTATAAATAACATTTCCCAAGATTTTTCAAAATAAATAAATATTTGAAGGCCATAAGGAGCCTTCAAATATTTGGTGTTGTGACAAGAGTAAAGTAAAGTACGTATTAAGTATGTTGTACTGTATTTTGTTGGTGCATGTTTAGTTTTGGAGGATGCACAAACTTTCATCAAGAATAACTTTTTGTCGAAAATAAGTTTCCCATATGGTGCATACTTTGGGGATGACACTGTATAATACACGTCAACTAAACTTTCAAAACATAGAAATTTATATAAAGAATATATACGCTCCACAATTCGAGAAGAAGCTCTACTGCCAAATGCTTCCAAAATTTAAATGTAAAAGACTTTCTCGTTATATGACAGCAAGTTATTAAAACAGTTTATTGGATTAAATAGTGAGGAGCATTCAGAATGAGCAATTTTATGGAAGGCGATTCTTAATAGGTTCCCATGCAGGAATCTCTATCATGAATATCTGAATTTTCAACAAATATATTAATATTTTTATGGGCAAAAGTGACACATTTCAAAATAAAAATAGAAGGTACAGTTAAGAGGCCCTCTCTTAGGTGGTCCCAAGCTGAGATCATACACAGGGAGGAACACTGGTTTAGGAGGAAATTCAAAGAAGCTGCATACCTGTTGTCCAACAATGTATTTAGCCAAGCTAGCATAGAGATACACAACATATGGAAACCCATAATCAAGCGAAAAATGGCCAACTCCCGCCAAACGGTCATCTCCCGCTGAATCGCTGAATCGGTGAAGCGGAAAGACGAGATAAGTGAAAGTATTCGAATGACCCAAAAATAGTTATCTCTCTGATGAATTAGTCCAGTCATCATCCGAAGACGATTGTGGATACTAATAATCGAAATGTCGTGAAGTAACTTCGCTTGGAATCTCTCAATTTTTTGTTCAATTGTTCTATTTTTACTTATATTTTATTTCACTGTAATTTCATTTTAGGGTTTTTTTTGTTTAATATTATTTTGATTTTCAGCTATTATTTTAATTTGTCTTTTTTATTGGTTATTTCAGGGATTTCAAATTATTTTATATAATATTAGACAATGGAAGTCATCATGAAACATTGTCAATCCCTTCAAACAATAATCTCATTAACCATTTTTCAGCAATAAAAACTCTTGGAAACTTCCTCACACGTCCCCAAGATATTGAAGCTGATTTGAGAATGAACTATAAAAAGTAACTATTCAACAATCCAAAATTATCTAAAGTGTTTTTCAATTGTTTCATTGCATAATATGCAGAATTGAGTAATCCGGGTTATATTTCCGCTGGATAATTGAATACCATTTATTTTGTCAGAATTACTGCTGAATTATTTCCTAATAATAAAATAAAGTTTTTTGTGTTGAGACCAAGCACTGAATTTATCTACTACTGTATTTATTTTGTCTGATAACTCTACTTCATTGCGCTGTGGTCAGCAAATATGGTTATGTGACAATCAGATAAAATTCTGACAGTTCAGAGGACAGAACTTTGAGGCACTCAAGTCTTAAATACATTTGTCTGCAATGTGTGAACATTAAATAAAACCTAACAAATGGTTGCCAGTTTGTTTACAACCTAATGTATATTCTCTCAGTGTTTTGACTACTTTCATGCACTGCTTGCATGAGAAAAGTCTAATTTATGAAATATGGCAAAAAAGCCTTGAGAGTATTCATAAAGGTGATATTCTCATCTTCACCATGGAAATTCAGATGAACATAAATGATCTATGGATTAGGTACTAATATTTATTCGTCTAAAAAACAACTCTGACTGTTTAAAAAAAAATCTGTTTAAAATATGATTTTCCGTTAGTCAGCTGTCGCCCCCATACGAACGACAACCCTCAGAAGTTGAGAAACTTGTCCCAGCTAAGGACTAACGAGGTCTTACCTTTTAAAGTGTGATTCCTAACACGGTGAGACAATACGTATATTTATACGCAAAATATCTTACCTTAAAGTGCATTCTGTCCACTTTCACAGATGTTGTCATATTTTTAACAGGTGTATCTAGCAAATCTGCTTGTAAAATAGCTGCAATAATAGCATCTGCATACATGTCATTTACAGGATTGGCAACCCACTGTAAAAAGGAAATGATTGTTACAAAACTATCAGTTTATTGTAAGTAAATCTTGCCTTTTATTTAAATGTATAAGTTATTATTTGTCAATAAAATATTTAAGTTTTTACAGCATTTTTAGAGGTTATGATTTCCGAAAAAAATAATGAAAATAAGCGGTAACAATAGGTATAGGGAAATATCAAGAAAAGTTGCCGGATAATTGTTGTAGATTCCAAAAATAATATTGTATACAGGGTATTCTATTTGAAAAATCCAGGTTGCTACTACTTTCCAATGAAAGTGGCAACAACGCATTATCGAAAATAATTTAGTTATACTAAAACCAATAATGATTGAGAGTAGAAGTAAGCCCAGTTGACAGCAAATCGGGGGCGTGCTTATTAATTTTTGAGAGGGAGTAATAATCGTGGTAATTATAGTAGGTACCAAATAAATTAACAATATTAATAAAAACACAATATATATATATATATATATAT